CCACTCCCCCTGCTTGTGTTCCTGCTCTCGCTATCTCTCTCTCTGTCAAATAAATAAATAAAAATCTTTAAAAAATAAAAATAAAAATATTTACCATATGGCCCTTTATGGAAAAGTTTGCCCACAAAGGGGACTCAGGGTTTTTTTTAATGATTCAGCGCTTCTACCTAAGGGAAGGGACGCCTTCTCCCTTATGCCTGGTGAGTAAACTCCTATTCATGCTTCAAAGCCCCAGCTCCAATGGTTCAGAGCAGGACAGAGCCCATTCTGGGCGTCCCTAGGGGGCAGGGAGGAGAGCGATGTGCAGCAGCATGGACGAGTCTGCTGGAGGTCAGGGTCCTTGTGAGGTGACAGGCGTGCGCATCTCCAGGGGGGGGAAGGAGCCGGTTCCTGGGGTGGGTCCCAGCTGCTGGCACTGATGGGTTCCCACGGGGGCCACAGCCACAGAATGCTGCTTCTGGCTGGCAAATGTGCTCTTGTCCTGTCCTTGGGGTGCCCTTCCCAGGCCTGTTCTCATGGATCTGAGGGTATTTACATATTCACTTATTATTATTATTACTTTTTTTTTTAAGACTTTTATTTATTTATATTGACAGAGCACAAGCAGGGGGAGCGGCAGGCAGAGGGAGAGGGAGAAGCAGGGTCCTTGTCACGTGTCACAAAATATCAAAATATGATGCTTCTTTGCACTTTCTCTCTGACCACTTAACGTTTGTAAAAAATTCTTAGCAAAACAAAAAACCCAGAGCAAAAGCAAAAAAACAAATTTGTGATCTCTCTTTTTGCAGGGTTTTTTTTTTTTTTAAGATTTTATTTTTAAGTCATTTCTACACCCAATGGGGGGCTCGAACTCATAACCCCGAGCTGAAGAGTCGCATGCTCCTCCAACTGAACCCACCTGCCACCCCTGCAGGTCTGGTTTTTGTTCTAGTTCTTTTCACTTCCTACTAATTACTGCTTCCTGCATCCATAGGCTATATTTATGGTCTGCCTTCCCCACTGGCAAGAGCTCCTGGAAGGATCTCTGTCACTTCTGTTCTCTGCTGCGTCCTCAGTGTCTAGACCAGAGCCTGGAACATAGGGGTCACTCATGAAATGTTTGTGGAAGGAGCAGATGATTAATGAGTTCACCATCACTCGGAAGGGCAGACACCTTTTTAATCCCCATGATCAGACACCAAGGCTGGAGGAGGGGAGCCCAGAGCCAGAGTCATGCAGCAAAGTCCTTGTTGGACATGGGCTGGAAACCGAGTGTCTGACTTCAGACTCCAGACGTATCCTGATCGAATCAGAAATGGAAAAATAGCCACCCCAAATGGCTAACTACACTAATCAGTGGAAAGACTTCAGCCAAGCTCTCCTGACTCGGAAAATCTGGGCAGAGCTGGGTTTCAGCCTAGAACTAGGCACAAAGTAGACTCAGGAAATGTTTGATGATTCAGTGATACTACCTAGAATGCCTTCCTTGGTTTTGTTTCATAGGTAAACTCCTGTGTATCCTTCAAAACCCCAGCCCCAATGCCCCTTCTCTGGAAGACTTTCTCCGATACCTGATAGAACCTTGGAGCCCCTCCCCGGGCATCCCAGCCCTGCCGCCCAGTTTGGAGGTCATCTGTGTCTTGTTCACGAGCTCCTCAAGGAAGGACACTCGAACACGGGTCTGTGCCCATGTTTTCTTGGGTAGATGAGAACCTGAGGGTTTAAATCCCTTGTGGAGGGGCGCCTGGGAGGCTCAGTCGGTTAAGCGTCTGCCTTCCGGATCTCAGGGTCCTGGGATCGAGCCCCGCATCGGGCTCCCTGCTCAGCGGGGATTCTGCTTCTCCCTCTCCCTCTCCCCCTCCCCCTGCTCATGCTTGCGCTCTCTCTCTTTCAAATAAGTAAAATCTTTAAAAATAAATAAATAAACCCACTGTGGATGAGCTGGAGCCCAGTCACCAAGGGTGGCAGGAGCCCCGAGCAGAGCCCCCACCTGCCACTCACCAGCAGCGGCATCCAGCAGAAGCTGGCCACCACCATGATGCCCATGAGCTGAGCCATCATCTCGACCTCGCAGTCCCGCGGGCGTTGCTGGGCGGCCTCCTGCCCATGGTAGACGTGGCAGAGAGTGGCCACGCTGATAGTGTTGAGCAGGAAGGACAGCCCGACCGAGAAGCTGCCGAGGAGCGTGAACAGCAGGCCGAAGGCCACATCCCCGGGCTGGGCGCCGAGCGTGAGGAAGCACCAGGAGCCGGGGTACTGCACTGTGTAACGGCCCACACCCAACAGGGGCAGCAGGCCCAGCGCCAGCGCCGACGCCCACACCAGCCCCACCGTGGCCCAGGCCCGGCGCTGCGAGGCCACCGTGGGGCGCGAGAAAGGCCGGGTGATGCCCAGGTAGCGCTCCGAGGCCATGGCTGCCCCCAGCAACAACGGGCAGAGGCCGAAGAAGACCATGATGACGCCCATGAACTGGCAGAGGCGGCAGCTGGGGTCCACCGCGTGCCAGTCGAAGAGGATGGCGTGCTGGGACACCACGATCACGCCGGTGACCAGCAGCCCCATGAAGTCGGTGAGCACCAGGCCGCAGAGGAAGGTGAGGAAGGAGGACCGGGCGTGTGAACTGCCCTGCCGTGCACCCGCCAGCACGCTCAGGGCCAGCAGGTTGGACGCCAGGCCCACCAGGCAGAAGGAGGCGGCGAACCAGGGAGAGGCGATCAGGCGCCGCTCTTCCAGCGTGATGTTGGTTGGCCGGAAACAGGGCCCCAGGGAAGTGCCGTTGGGCCACATGGCGCCGGAGCGGGGAGGGGAGGGTCACCACCCCATCGGGCCGGGGCTGCAGGTGGGGAGAAGGGGCGCTGGCTCAGGCACACCTGGGGGAGCAGAGAAAAGATCTGCTGGTGATTCATTGTGTATTTTCATCGGAGTGGGCCTGGCGAACTCCTACACCATCTTCAACGGCCCAGTTCAAATATCCCCTCTTTGAAGAAGCCTGTCCTGACTCATCTCACTCCGCACTCAGTATTACTACTTCTACTGCCTCCAGCTCTGTCCTGCCCTGGATTCAGTGACCCACAAGGGTGAGGACCCGCGCTGTCTGCTCCGTGGCCCCCCGGAGAACACCCAGGGTCTTTTGTGGGTCACAGAGAAGAACCAAGAAACTCTGGGCTGGAACCACAGTCCTGGCGCGCCCTGCGTGATCCCAGGCAAATGGTTTCTCCTCTCCTGGCTCCATGGCCCCACTTGTCACCCAGCTGAGCCCTTGGCCGACTGCAGAATCCAGGACAGATTTCAGCCGCTGGGAGATGGGATGCGTCCAAGGTGAGGAGGGCGGCGGGCGGGCGGCCAGAGGTCACGGGCTCTCACACTGGCTCTAAGGTCAGCCTCCGGGTCATGACTGCGCCGCATAGACGCGGGAGGCCCGACACCTTCAGCCTTTTTGGAAGACGCTGCCTTGCCCATGTTGGGATCGTGTGGATTCTTCCCCGCCCCCCCTCCCCCGTTTTCGTGGCATTGTTTTTATAATGAGAAATAAACCCAGAAGTCCAGTTCCATTCTGGGAACAACAACAGAAAAACCCCAGCTCATTTGGAGTTACAGACTCCCCTGGGACGAGCTATAAATGGCAGCAAGAGAGACCTGTTACCCTGTGGGGCTGTGGAAGGACACTGGAGACGCTGGGGCCCAGCTGCCGCGAGTGTGGACAGATAGACCAGTTGTGGGGATGTCACGTAGAAATAAAAGGAGCGACCATTCAGAGAACAGCTCCCAGTGCCCGAGAAGGACCACCAGAGAGGCCATCAGGGGGTAGGCTGGGGCCTAGCTGGTGGGTTCCTGGCCTCCTGCCCTGCGTCCACACCGCAGGTGTCCCTGTGTGGCCAGTGAGGCTGCCCCGGGGGGAGGGCCGAGCGGGCACAGGTGGGCGGGCGTGGGCAGGACGCAGGTGCCAGGCACTTAGAGCTCAGAAAGCTCCTACTACGGCCCCCATTTGGCAGAGGGGGTCCAAGTCCCGCATCCTGGCCTGAGTTGATCTGAGATGCAAATCCAGGCCTTGTGGGTAAGCGTGTGTAAATGATTTGTAGGCCTGCTAGTCAGAGGGAGGATGGGGGCCGTGGGTGTGGAGGGTCGCCATCACTGGAATTTTCTCCAATGGACAGAATTTTCTAAAAAGCGGGTCTGGTCAGATTTGAATCTGGGCCTTCCCACGAACCCTCTCACTGGCCCTGCTGTGAGCTCCAGTTTCCTTTCTGTAAAATGGGGCGGATGATGGGAATGAGCTAAGCTGAGTACAGGGCTTAGCCCTCTGTGGGCGCTCCCATCACGCCGGCCCTCGCTCCCCATCTTGCTAACCGATGCTTGGCCTGGCCCCTCTGCTCAGCGGCTCCTTATCGCTCCTCATAAATTATCCAGCCCCTGACAACTGCACTGAGCTGTGCTCCCAGGCCCAGAGCCAAAGCCACTGCCCCTTGGGCGGGGTGGGGCCTGGAGTGAGAAAACGAGGCCCGGAGAGAGGCGGGCAGCTGCGTGGGGTCCACAGTGACCTCAATCTTACCCTCCACCGCAGAGCAGCGGCATGCTCTGTGCCGTCACAGATTTGGTCTGCATTTGGATTCCTCTAGGCCCGGGCACCCTCTCCCTCGAGAGCTGGTACGCACTGTTTCTGAAACTTCCTGGGGACTTGGGCTGTGCTTGGGCCACTGCCCCGACCTCAGCCTGGAGTGACCACCAGCTCCTCCTAGGGCTCACGGCCCCAACCCTGTGTGGGAGCTCATGCACTTCTCATTCGCCCAGGGTCACACACTCTGAGCCCGCCTCATGCCTCCCCTGTCTGGGAACAAACCTGTGACCCAGAGCCCTTGGCTCCAGGGCAGGCTGGAAACTTGCATGTCTCCCTCTGGCCACGCCCGTGGTTTCCAGTCCCACCCACACCCCACCCCCAGGTTCAGGTGATAGCGGTCGTCTCAAGTTCCCTGGCACACAGGCTAGGCCTGTAGGGGCCCCTGGCAAGGCCTCCTATCCCCTCCCAAACTGGCTGGGAGGGATGGCAGGGCCCTCACCCTGCAGGGGACTGTCAACATAGCGTGAGGTCCAGAATCAGCCCTGTGTGGCCCTCAGGAGGAATCCATCTCCCTCTCTGTGCCTCATGGGAGGCACGGGTCCCAGAATCCCACCCCAGATTTGCTGGACAAACCCAGGCTTCCATGGCCCAAGAGCAGGGAGGTTTGGGCTTTGAAGGACCAGGGCTCTGGAATTCCAATGAGCTCCTGGTTCTGGAACCCAGGAGGCCTCGAGTCCAGAATTCCAAGGAGCCGAGGTTCCAGAACTTTGATGGGAACGTGGCTGAGTCCTGGGATCCAGAACCTGGGTCTCAGCTCCTGGCTCCTTCCTGGAGGATGTGTGACACTCAGTTCTCATCAGCCTTCCTGGGTGAGGCTGGGCCATGGGGGGTTCCATCCTGCCTCAGAGGCACAGACACCAGGCTGGGCCCTCCCAAGCCCAGCCCCACCCCGTGGAATGTGATCTCTGGTTCCCAAGTGCCAGGCCCCTCCTCTGCCTGTTGGTCACCACTGGCCCCGCTCTCCTCCTCCCGCTCTGGGGAGCCAGCCATCTCTCAACACATCCGTCTCCCGCTCAACACTCCATCCCCTGGCTTGCGAGGCCGCCTGTCTCCAGGCCCATCCAGACTCCCCGCAGGGGCGACGCTGAGCTCCCACAAACTCGGACTGGAGCCCCTGATCTGCCACCGCCAAGCCTCAGTGTGCCCCACTCTGCGAAATGCAGACAACGGGGACACTAAGTCGCCTGCTGGCATTCTGGCTGGCCTCCCCAGGCCTGACCTGCTCCCACTGAGCCTCTGCCTCCGCGGCGCCCCCCGGCTCCTGGCGCGCTCCGGGCTTATCTCCTGGCTGGCCGTGTGCATGGGGGGCAGCCCCGCGGCGGCCCCCAGCACATCTGCTGAGTCCTGTGAACGCTGGCCAAGTGACTGCCGCCGCCCTTTGGCACGAAGCTGCAGGGGCCAGGCCAGCCTGATGCTTCCTCGCAGGCCCACGGCGGAGGCCCACAGACACCCGCGGAGACACACACCTAGGGGCAGGGCCCCTGTCAGTCCCCAGGCCTGCCTCTGCCTCCCCTCACCAGCCCACAAGGCTTAATTTCCGGGAACTTTTCCTGTTTGTGACACCGACCCGGCCGCCACCTCAGAGGGTACAGAGTGGGGCCTCCACAGTCAGCCCAACTAGGTCTGAGCCCCGCCTCGGCCCTGACTCAGGGGACCCCTGTGAGCCTCCGTTTCCCTATCCGTACAATGGGTGCCCTCAGGCTGCACGGGAGGGCGGGTGTGGGGTGAGGGACAGGACCCGGAGCCTTTGGCCGTGGTTTCGGATGGACAGCGAGTTGGATCGTGCGGACTTGTGCTGAGACCCACCATTGCATGTGCACACACACACACAAAGTGCACGCACACACTTGCTCACGACCACACCCAGCGCCTCGCACGCTTCCTGCCACATCAAAGGACCCGAGCAGCCCAGCGCCCAGCCAGGGAAACGCACACGCAGCACATCCTCAGCCACACTGGGACGGGCCCAGGGCGGACAGCGGGGGGCGCAAGCGCCCCCTGCGGACACAGACCCGCTCTCGACGACGACACCCGGGACACCCAGCACCTGGCCGCTGGACCGGCCCAGGGGGACACACCCACAGCAGGGCGGGCCACCGCTGGACACACCCTGCCCGCTCTCACGCCCCGCCCCTAACCTGGGGGCCCAGCCTCACCTGGACACGATGATCGGTGGGACGCGCTGGGGCCGCCCCTGTCACGGAGCCCCGCGGGCGGGCGCCGGGCCCAGGCCTGGGAGGGCGGAGCGGGGAGTGGGGCGGTCCGGCCTCCCGGGGCCCCCGGGGAAACCGAGTCACGGCCAGGGGCGGGCCGCCCAGGGGACCCCGGCGCTGCCACGTCCTCAGAGGGAACAGACGGAGGGCACGGCAGCTCTGGACGCTGGGGTGCGCGAGGTGCTCTGGGGCTGGAGGAGGGGCGACGAGCCTTCGCGGCCCGGAAGGGGGGGGTCCGAGGGGGCTAAAAATAGCCCAGGCCGGGGGCTCCGCTCCGCAGCCCGCGCCCTGTCTGTCCTTGTCTCTCTGTCTCCGTCCGTCTCTACCGGCCCCTCCCCCTGCACTGGCCACGCCCCTCTGGCACGGCCTGGTTGATGGGGGTCAGTGGGTACCCCCCAGCCCTCCCGGGAACTCGCGCAGCCGCCTGGGGGAGGGGTGGGCGCGTCCCCCTGGGCTCAGGGACAGGGATGCGGGTGGCCGGCGCCCACTCGGGAGCCTTCGGCCCCGGACCCGCCTGAGCCGGGCCCCCTGTTTGCGCTCCCGCCTCCCGGCCCCGCATTATTCACCATCTGGGCAGCACCCAAGGCCGGCAGGGGCGGGACAGAGCCCGCGGGCGGAATCAGCCCCCTAGGCGCCCAGACCCCCACCCAAGGGGCCCAGGGCTCCAAGCTGGTGAACCTGGTGGGCTGGGGCCTGGCACACAATTAGGTACCCAATCAATGCAGGGTCTGTTTAGAGGGGAGGGGCGCCAACACTCTCAGGGAGCAGCTTTGTGGGCATCCTGCCGAGACAGGCTTTCCCGGAGCAGGTCCACTGGCCATAGTGGAGGATCTGGCATCCCAGGGTGAGGGTCCTGTGAGGACAAAGGCTTGAAGATGGCAGTGGAGCTGGAGAAGGCAAGCCCCTACAGAGCCCCCTGCAGGGGGGTGAGGAGGTCGGTCCCCCATCCCCCTCCATCCCTAACCCCTGTGACAGATAGAGAAGGAATCCCAGGCCAGTCACCCTGGGAGGGAGTGAGGGTGAGCCCAGGGAACTGGGAGCGGGGCTTGGCAAAGGGCTCCCAGGCAGGGCTGGCATCCTTGAAGACCCCCAGACCCAGGGCTCTGGGCCAGGGTCTCATCAGCCACAAAAGCAGAGGGTGACCAGGCTGGGCGCGGCTGGAGCAAAAGCCCCCAGAGGCTGCACTGCGCTGGAGGAAAGTGAGGTTGGGCCTCAGATGGGCGAACGGGGTCCACAGGCCTGAGCTCAGCCTCTGAAGCCGCATGGAGGGCAGGATTTTGGAGTGAAGGGGTGACCCTGGGCCTCACTGGCCCTAAGTTAGGGCCTGCAGTGGGCCAGGACTAGCTGGTTTGGCCTTGACCCTGCCCCACCCAGTCCCCGGAGGCCTGGGAAGGACATAGGAGGTCTGGCTCTGAGTGAGGAGGACGTGCTTCTGCCCCCGCCCCCCGCCCCGTCCTGCGTGTCCTAATACCCCTTTTCTGGCTCCCCACCCTACCATCCTCCCGGCCTCCGGGCCTTAGCACACACCCTGTGTCCTTCCAGGCGGCCCCTCCTCTGTCCTATTCCATTGTCTGAGGCGCTGAGGATCTGGTGGTTAACCCTAACTTCTCCTCCTTGCTAAGGGGTCTCCCCAACTCTTATGCATCTGGCAGAGCCCTGGCTCTAAGACCCCCTCCTTTGTAAAGCCGTGCTCTCCCAAGCAGTCCTGCTACCCCCAACCCTCTTCAAGAGCAACTCTGTGTCCTGGTCCATGTGGTGGACAATTCTGCATCAGATCTGCCCTTGAAGATGCCTTCCCGCTGGAGAAAGAGCTGGACAGAGTCCAGTCCCCTGTGGTCAGCCTGGGGCCAGAGGAAGTGACAGGGCTTAGGGCAGCCCAGAGGTGAGCCAAGAAGGCATCCTGAGGGAAGAAGGTATGAGAACTGGGGCTTTGTAGGATGAATAAGAGTCCCCTGGGTCAGAGAGATATGGTTGTGGCAGAAATTACATTTAAAACTTTGGGGAGGAGAGGGAGCGTGAGGCTTTGGGGAATTGCAAGGAAGGCAGATGTGGTGGAAAGAGGATGTGGAGCTGGGGCTACAGATGTTGGGGGGGACTTGAGGGACGCTGCTCCCTTCCCACTTCCTCTGCCCGAGATAACAAGGACAGGGTCCTTTCTGGGAAACGGTCACAGCAGGCGTCAGAGAGGGGCACTCGACCTGCACGGAGTCTGGGCAGCACCGCAACTCTGCAAGGCAGTGGAGGGTGGGAGGGAAGATGGGGAGCCTGAGGGGCGCCTGGCCGGCTCAGTCGGTAGAGCACACGACTCTGGATCTCAGGGTTGTGACTTCCAGCCTCACATTAGGTGTGGATGTAACTTAAAAACATAAAATCTTAAAAAAAAAAAAAAAAAGGGGGGAATCGGAGGTCCAGAGGGAGGAAATGAGGCATCCAAGGCCACTTGTGGGTGGGATTTGCACACAGCTCTGGCTTCCACCACCTCCGGGCCTCCCTCCCCAACCCCGCCCCACTCAGTCAGCTAGGGAGGCTAGGGAGGCCAGATGGTGGGAACAGAGGCCAGGCTCAGGATGCGCCCCCCGGGGCTGGTTTCCGGTGGGGGCCAGGCCGGGAGGATCTATTCTTAGCCTCCACAGCCAAGGGCAGGAAAAGGATGGGGTGGGGGTTGGGGGCAGCTTAAGGCACTGGGTGGGCCCTGGGCCAGGGTGGGGACCAAGGGGCGGCTGGGTGGCTGTGGTGCCTCCAGTCGGCCTGAAGGGTCCCCCTGACGCCCAGCTCACAGCCCCATCCAGATCATCCACCCTCTGCAGCTCCCCAGGGTCCTGGGAAGAGTCCAGCTGCTGGGCTTGCAGTCACCCCGCGGGGCCCCTGCCCCGGGAGCACCTGCTGCCTTGTCCTCTGCCCAGCAGCCCTGCTGCCTAGCCCAGTCCGGCTCCCGCGCCCGTCTCTGGGAAGCCTTCCGTGTGACTTCGGGGGGCCCCTAGCCCCAATGCCTCCCTGACCCCTTGGTCTGGGGGTGTCTGGGCCCAGCCCTCCTCCCTCCAGACCAGGGCTCCTGGCTTAAACATGCACCCGGAAAGTCACTTTGTTTCCCCTCCTGGTGCAGCTGTCTCCCTTGGGGTCCACACCCTGTTGGGACTGCCGAGGAGATGGAGGAATTCGGACTCTCCTGGGAGCAGGTGGAGAAACTGAGGCTGGGACAGTGGGTGGTGACCTGGGAGGTGGGATTCTCCCAGCTGGAAAATCTAACCCTGAGCAGCACTTCCAAGCTCGAAGATGTGGGCTTCTGCAAGCCTCAGTACCCCCAAACGAACACAGACGCTGTTGCGTAGAGGCAGATGGTGCGTGGACACACAGCCACGCTGGGACGACAGGGCAGCGCTTTACCCAGCCTGTGACCAAGCGGCAGGCTAGGGCCGAAATGCCTCCTGGGTGTGCCCCAGACTCAGCCCTGTGCCCAGGGGCCTGCCCTGTGCGCAGGACAGTGGAGTGGGCCAGGAATCACCGGGTACCAACTGCTTAGATACATGCAAGATACAAAGGTCGCCCTGGCAGTCAGTGATGAATTAGTGATGTCCGTCAGGGGTGGTGAAGGGGCCGGATGTGCTCCGTGTGCCGCCCGGCCTGCACCAGGCTGGTGTGGGTGGGCCAGCTTACGTCCCCAGCTCGCAGCTCCGGGGCCCCTTGACCAGACCCACCTCCCTGCTGAGTGGTCCAGCCCTGCTGCCGTGTGCATGTGTGAGGTGGGGCAGGATGGAGGAGAGGCCTGGGCTCTGCCAGGCGCTCCTGGGGTAGCATTAAGACAGGGTTGGGGCGACCAGTGGCCCGGGGACGGTCAGTCTTGGCCATGGACGCTGGGCCGGACGGTCCTCGGTCATGAGGGCAGCCTGGGCACCGTGGGGGGGCCGAGGAGCACCCGCGCCCCCCTCCTGGCCCGGAGACCCTCCACCCCCGCCCCCGGCGTGACAACCACAGCCCACCATCCCCTGGCCTGGGAGAGCAGCTCCTCACCTCCCAGCATCCACGCTCGAGCCGGTCAGGCGCTCCGGGGGGAGGTGAAGCCATGGGTGGGCAAAGACAAGGACAGCTGCGGACAGCGGGGAGCTTCCTGAGGGGCCACCGCTGTTCTTAAGTGCTGTCATTAAAGGTCTCCTCACCCTGGTTGTGACGTGCGCGCTCTGCCCACGCAAGATGGAAACAACGGGACCGCCTGTGGCGGCGGGGCCTGGGGCTCCAGACTGTGCAGCATTTCTGAAACTCTAGAAGTATTCTAAAATAAAGTGTTTATTAAAAAAACATGCAACTTCATGAGTAGACCAATTAAATGAAAATAAGATATTTCCCCCCACCTAAAAAAATTCATTTTAGAGAAACAACCTAACACACTTCCAGACGGAACAGGGCGTGTGGCTGCGGCCGCTGGAGAAGCCGGCGCCGGGGGTCATGCCCCTTCAGGCTGGAAACGTGTCTGGAACAGGCGTCGGAAGCAACGTTTCTGGGGCAGCGTGTGAGTGGGTGGTGGCCGCACTTGTCAGCCCCACAGCCGAGCTCGCCACACACGGGGACGCGAGCGCAGCTTCGGGCCGGCTGGGAGGCGGTCTCCAGGAACGCAGCTGTCCCGACGTGGGGGGGCACCCGGGTCAGGTGGGGGCGCCGCTCCGCACGCAGAGAACGTCTCTGTGGCCCCTGGCTGCTGGACCCGGTGGCAGAGGGGTCTTCCGTGCCCACCCGGCGGGCGGAGACTGACCCACAGCAGCACCAGGCCAGCCTGGGCAAGGGCCGGGGTGGGGTTCCCGCAGCCGCCCTGGACTCGGATCCCTGTGCCTCAAAAGCCTGGCACCCTGCCCTGTCAGCGCTATGGGGCGGCTTCTCCGGTGGCCCCCCTCCCCTGTTCGCAACAGGGAAAGCGGGTCTGGGCGACGGGAAGGCCAGGGGAGGCCGCCGGCCCCACCGGCCACCGCGAGGGCTGGCAGGCGGCC